CAAATGAATAACTGATTAACCTAGCAGTAATCATTCAATTTTTTTTTCTTTTTAGACCATAATTGTTAATAATTGATGATGACTAACTATAAAATTGTGATAGATCTTCATATTGTTAGTAAATGTTAACATTTTCTATCTCTTTTCAATTATTCAGATTGACCTTACGAGTATTTTAAACAATCAGACCATCTAACTCATAGAACAAAATGATTTTTAATCTATCATACCTTAAAGATGTCAATATATTTTAGTTGAAACTATTTATACTACTGATTAAAATCATACAAATTAATATTTGATCATTCATTTGTAATTACTTAGATTCTTAAATAGAATCTCAACTTTTCTTATCTAATAATCAAACTCAATATGTATATATATATCTTAGATATCTGATTATAATTAATTGAATATAGTGTAAATAATAACTTGACCTTATTCCCCTTTTCTTTTTTGATTTACTAAAAATTAATTGTTATAAAGTAAATAGAAAATGGTGAAATGATAGATAGATAGATAGATAGATAGATAGATAGATAGATAGATAGATAGATAGATAGATAGATAGATAGATAGATAGATAGATAGATAGAAGATAAGGTAGATTGTTTAAACTATGGATATTCATATTGTTGATGTTCTGATTAAAAAGTCAGTCAGTCAGTTAGCTACAACGTAGGACCAGGCACATATATGCATCCATCGAAGTTGCTATACCTCGTTAGCACAACAAGATAAACACCGGATTCATGGAAGTAGTTCATTTAGTGGTGTTAATATATAAAAGAAAGGTTTCATATAAGGACATACTATAGGAAAGAAGACAGATACAAAGCAATTTTAATCTCAAGGTTTAAGGGAAGATAAAGAGTGTAAACACCTATGCCATTGTGATCGATTCTGAGCCATGTCACTCACGGTCTCCAACCATTGGTTACGATAGTCGTGCCGACCCCAACCAAGTAACTTGCATCTACCAACATGGCTTAGACTAGAAGTTAGTGAGTTCAAGCTCCGATGCCACATTTTGGTTTGGCCACCCCTAATTCTCTCCCAAACATCACCAATACTAGTCAGCATAGCGCGTCGTGGTAATCGGTGTTCAAGCATACGTAACACGTAGCCCAACTATCTCAGTCGAGATTAAAAGTAGATAGACTGATTACTAGTATTTGTAAATATGTAGGTGTGTATGTGTGTGCATTCCATGTATTTCAACGTTTCATAAAAGTAACAAAACCACATTAACAGATAATTCCCAATTACATAGTTTAAATCATTAGTCAATTGAAGCTAGACCACCATGGAAAACCTGGAAACACTGCTTGACGGCCGTTTCGTCCTATTGTGGGACTCCACCTTGGCAGTGCGCATCCACTATCCAAGCCTCGCGTGATTCATCCCAGGACCTATCACTCTCGCGCGCGAGTGCTTAACCACCAGACCACTGAGTCGGCCATCATCCAATGGTGTTTATTTCTAACTTCAACCAATCCACGAAATTGAGCAACCATTCACCATTGTCTTCAGTGAGTTGATTCCCAATTAAACATTAAAAAGTAAAAACACAAAGTTCAGTGAAATGATCTCTTTTTGACGAATTTATTATCGTGCTATACAATTCGGATACGGAAACATATCCCAGTTCGGTTCTATGATTATAAAATGAAAGCAGTTAGGAGTTCTATACTCGAACACCTAATCGACTGTAATCATTCTACGGATCCACAGTTTGGTTTTAAGGTGTTTATATAATTCTTTCAAATCGGCCTATATTTCTCCGTATCCAAATCTTAAAAATAGCCGAAGCTCTCACCATCCATGAGCTTAAACCAGAACTTTGCGTAAAAAAGAAGTACATCTTATGGTTATCGTTACCATCTCCTTAATTAATAATGATAATATTATTATTACTGCATCCCCCTTTACTTATGTCTTATATTCTCATAAGTATTCATGAATACTCATCATATCACCTTACTTATTTTTACACCTCTATGACCTTTAGTTGTTGTAACTATAAGCATTTTGTTTTATATATATATATCTGAAATCATGAGTCGATTGAATCTAGACCACCATGGAAAACCTGGAAGCATTGAACGGCAGTTTTAATCATTTTATTCATCTTATTATATTCACTAAATCTATTGTTATTATTCGTATTACGTAATCTAGTAATATAATCTTTCTGTTACGTCATCTTGGTCATTCATGTTCATATTTCCACACGGAATTTGTAATTTAACAAAAAAATTTCATATATATACCATTGTACAGCTTGATAATAAGTTCGTTGAAAAGAGAGTCTAGCCTGTTGGTTTCAAAGTTTGGCGTCTACGGAGTCCTTCATTCTGTTTAACACTACCCTGTCGAAGACTTCTGGTATTGAGAGAAGAGTGATGCCTCTGTAATTTATAGCAGCTCACATACAATTAAGTTTGTTCATATCTAATTTGGTTAAGCCTTTTGTTAACTTATTTAACGGACAAAGTCATTCATTCGCACAATAACAATCTATCTATACTATTGTACCTTTATTATGTACACTTGAGCATTGTTTACTGCCTACGCATATATTCATTTTGCTAGCCTTAATATTATTCGCTTGATTGATTCTATGATTCATGCATCTCCATTTGTATATATATGTACATCTTATTCTCGTTCATTGAAACGCTTATTCACTGTACTCGCTTTCTCGCTGACTCAACCAATCAATCTCTCACTCGCTTGCTTCACAGCACTACTCTTTCATGCTTGTTTAACGTGCCTGTAATTTTGGATATCTGTGTGTGGTCCAATAATAAACATAATCAACACTTCGTATTCGACTTCTGACTTATACACCATTGAGGCGTTATCGAGTAACGGTTATCAGGACGGACAATATAGGAAGTTTAAGGATAATATCGAATATCGACCATCACAAACGGTAAAAATCACATCAAAGTTGTCATATATCATTAAGTCATTTTCTGTTCAATTTTATATTGAAAGAATAAGTTCTTAATAATTGCTTATATTTATTAATGACTATTGAAACATATGAGAAACAAATAGATGAATAGATAGATTAGTGTAGAGTTATCTTTTTTTTAAAAGTGAAATTGTTATGTGACTTTATTAATTGTAATTGCTTGAAACTGGTGACACACGCTCATTGTGTGAGAAATTTTCTTTTAGGCTCCATATTGTTGAGATCTTAGGGCCAAGCAATAGTGATCGTTGATTTCATTTTCAAGCATGAAGAGCACCTGCTAGTTGGTGCAATTGTATGCGAGTTTTTGAAGATAGTGAGTTTGTAAGTGAAGCTTGTCACCTCAAATCTGATCTAAAATCATTAAATTTCGTTTGTTATCCAAGAAATTCAAAACCAGCAAAATAAAATGGAAGTTTATTTGAACAAGAGGTAATTTTTACTCAATCAGACGACTCACGAAAATCGTAAGTCACTGATCATCAGAAATTTTTTGAGGACCGTATATATCGAGATTTTCTGGACAAACGTCAACAATGTTAAAATCACTGACAACATTATGAACCACATTATTAAATATGGCTGAAAAGCAACTTTAATTCCATGTAAGTTAGTTTTATTGAATAGACTGGAAGGAATGGTAATACTTTTTGAATTTTATGTAAGGCTACTCAAAGGAATCTGATTATAGAGTCCCTTTATTACCAACTTCACAGAACACTTTAAAACAATTAACATGACCAGGAATGTTCACACCTACTACTGTGGTCTGGGTTGGCTTCAACAAACGGTTAATCAATGTCAAGGACTGAATAATCATCACTTCGTAGAACTTAACACAAGCAGCCATGAAATGTTTACTTAAAGCATCAGCATCTCTTAACTTCTATGAAAATTAAAGTAAATTTTCTAATTGACCACAACATCATAAAATTATTTCAACAATCTTTCGATTGATATAAAATATAGAATTGATTGAAGTTAGAGATTAATATTATTAGATGCCAAATCATAGGGTTAGTGACTAGCTGTTTAAGTGCCGGATTGGAGGTCTTCGCCTCGGCCTCCAGTTGTAGAGCCGTGGAAAAATGTACCAAGAGGAAACACTTATCCAGTGCTTTCAAATTTAAACGGTAGTATAGCTAAGATCGATTCATGATTAAGACTGGAAATTCTACAATCTACACAAATTTACTATACTAAATAAAATTTAGCAAATACATGTTTTAAATTTGTTGTGTTGCTTGCAGTGAAAACTAGGACGCGCATTTTACCGTCTTTGAGACTCATCAAATGGAATGGCTTACATCTGTGTTAATGTTCACATCAAAACTCGAACCTAGTCCACACAGCCTCAAACACTGATCCATTTTTCTATTCAATATTCATGAATCAATTTATCACATAAGATGGTATTAAGAAACGTTTACAACACTGTGTTGTAGGAATTCAACATTTCGAATGACCAATAAATGATTGCATGAAGACAGTTCACTCAAAATGTTAATATTTTAACAACAGTAAATTATCTACTGTATTACTGAATTTGCAACAATGAGGAATTAAAAACTTTTATTTACTGAGGTGTTAAAAGTGTATATTCACCGATGTATAAGTCAATCTTAACAAATCATGATAGTCACTCTTCGAGATTTCATTATCAGTATAGGGTTGTGGATATCGATGAATTTTATTTAGATCACCAACAGATATTAATTAGACTTTGATGAGAAGCCTGGAATTTCCACAGCAGTGAATATCCACAAAGAAGCTATTGGGAATCAAACCTGACACCTTCAGCTTCAAGAATGAATACTTAACCCTTAGAGCACTATTCATGAATCCAGTCTAACGTCAATCAGCCCATTATATTGCTCAACTTTCTCCCACTATTTTGATGAGGACTTTAATATTCATAATTTTGGTATCCATCTATCCAATTTTCATCAATTAAATTATCTAGAATAACTTCGTAAGTCTTATTGACTTGAACACCTTAGCTACTACGGTGAAATAATCATAATAATATTAAATAAGCCGCAAAATGAAATGGTATTCTACAATGATTTATTTCATATTGTACACAAACCATAAGGATTCTATTATTATTATTATTATTATTATTAATATTATTATTATTATTATTATTATTATTATTACTAGTGGTAGTAGCAGTAGTGTAGTGAACAGAACACTAGTTAGGGACAATCGAATGTGTGTAAGCACAAATTACAGACTACCTCACTAAATTCTGATAACCATGCAGCGAACAGTTAATTTGCAAAATAACCACCAATTGTCTCAATCTTCACTGTTCCTTCTGTAAATATTAGTTCATCTTCTCTAATTCTACCGTTCATGCACTTTCCAAACAATTGCTCTTCATTTCAGTTCTTTCCTTATCGGTCTTCTGCCAAAATACATTCTATGTCTGACTATAGACATATACCACTTATATGGACATAAGTAGACCACGCCACAGTAGTAGTAGTAGTAGTAGTAGTAGTAGTAGTAGTAGTAGTAGTAGTAGTAGTAGTAGTAGTAGTAGTAGTAGTAGTAGTAGTAGTAGTAGTAGTAGTAGTAGTAGTAGTAGTAGTAGTAGTAGTAGTAGTAGTAGTAGTAGTAGTAGTAGTAGTAGTAGTAGTAGTAGTAGTAGTAGTAGTAGTAGTAGTAGTAGTAGTAGTAGTAGTAGTAGTAGTAGTAGTAGTAGTAGTATCTTACAATACAATAATCTATTTCCCATATTGTCCCTATTATAGAAGACCGTTTTTTTCTATATTCAAAATTTTAAGTGGATTTTTACCCCTTGTTTAGTTAGTTGTTATGTAACTTTTTTAGCAAATCACATGCACGTCTTAATTGCAATGATTATCATTAATCTTATAGTTTTTTCACATACCTTACCACTGAAAGTATCATTACTATTATTATTGTTAATGGTTTTATTATTATTATTTATCTTACCAAGTTATCATGGTCTTTCTATAGCCTATTTTCTTACATGACAATTTAATTATACTTAGTTAGATTATATCTTTTTTATAGTTAGCTGTCGCCTCCCTCAACATAGATATACATATACTAATCTCTATGTTACCCAACCTTTTTTTAAGTTACATAGTGGATTATAATCGAGTATGACAGTATTGTTTTAAACGTAATTTTATGAGAAGAAAATAAACTTACCTTTAAGATTGTAGATTGGTCTTGAATTAGCCAATATTAGCTTATATGAAGTCTGGTTTTAATAATATAGAATTATGGGATTTCATTTGATCAATTGAATTTAATTAGCACCTAGAACTAGTTATTATTTAGCCAATAATCAACTATATATACTTTAGTCTTGCTGGAGATCAGTAGCTCATTGAATAGCTCCATAATAAAGTTTCAGATCTTGGAAGAGAATAACACGAATTCAAATTTTATAAAGAACATTAGTTCTGTCAAAGTAATGCATACACCTTGTTGATAAGTGTGAACTGGTATAAAACTCTGAATCTGAGTATTCTGTTACATGCTTCTAACCGACTCACATCTAAATGTATATTGATCTATTTTATATGAATATTCGTCAAGATTAGAACGAATAGTTTGACAAAAATTGGGCCTCCGAGTATAGAGAAGTCATTATATGTGAAAAATATATTTGAAATAATCTTAGCGACTGAAATGCAAATAATTTTAACGTTTCGTCTACCTAACTTGTCTGGACTTCTTCAGGGTAATAATCAGAATCAAAATCATCGAAGTAATATATAGAGTTTTTAATCATTAAATCAGATCAAATCTATACTGTGTTAATCCAATCATATCTGGATATATTAGCGCAATGCATTTCGAACAATTTGATATATTAATATATATCCCGTATAGTGGTGTAGAGTGAAAGAATAGTTTAAACTATAATGACACAACTTTTAGTGCTCCCTGACCAGTGGATACCAATTCATCGACCAAAAGGTTAGGGGAGACCTGGAATTCTTGAAATCTATCACCAGTTCTATATTGTCACTAGGAAACTTTTCAATTGTTCTTGATTTTTAATGGTTGTTCAACTAAGATTAGTTCTTAATGTGAAAATGTCAGACTAAATACTACTTGATCAAACCGCATTTGTTGCTATACATACAAAGTCATTTTATTATGAATTTGACTTATTTGAATATTAAACTTTTTGCCAAGTTCATGACTTCTTTCTTTTCCATATTAGTAAAGATTATTGTTAAAGCGTTGTGTGTTATTTACTCGGTCTATATATAGTAAACAAAACACTGGTTGGGGACAATCCAATGTATTTAGACACAATTGCTCTTCATTTCAGTTCTTTCCTTATCGGTCTTCTGCCAAAATACATTCTATGTCTAACCATCACCATATACTACTTATATGGATATAAGTAGACCACACTAAATATGTAGTTCGTGTAGATCTCTCAACTGTTCATGATTTGTAAATTACAGCTGGCTAGTTTTAAACAAAATATTGGATACATGAGACTTTCATCACACACATGAAATTGTATTCAAAGTGTCGCCTAGCTGATTAGATAGCTGTTACTTACTAAACATTTTCTCCATTTAAAAACAATTCCATGATTGCAATAATGAATTGTGTGAATTCATTTCAATATCAGAGAATTCCCTAATGAATCAAAAGTTAAAACAAGAAAAGAAAAAAAGGAGAAAAAGCACAACATATTGAATATTGAACACCTTTTTTTCTTCTTCTTCTAGGGATAGATACAAAACAATGAATATTATAAAGTCAACTAGTGAATATATTTCATTGCCTATATCCTATACAACTTACCCTGTCCATTTCCTAATGATTTGGTCAGTAGAATATGTATATGAAATGAATATGAGAATAGTTTGGGTACTTTTAACAGGGTTAACACACACACACACACAGATATTGTTAAAATTAAGCGTTAGTAAAATTATTGTTTCAATATTATGTAATAACGAGGCAAGTAGTGGAGCTTTGGCAAATATTTTATGTGCTACTGTTATGAATTATATATTTCAATTATATACTTACTTACTTACTAACTTACTTACTTACTTGCTTACTTACTTACTTGCTTACTTACTTACTTACTTACTTACTTGCTTACTTACTTACTTACTTACTTGCTTACTTACTTACTTACTTACTTACTCACTTACTTACTTGCTTACTAACTTACTTACTTACTTACTTATTTATTTACTTACTTACTTACTTACTTACTTACTTACTCACTTACTTACTTACTTACTTACTTACTTACTCACTCACTCACTTACTTACTTACTTACTTACTTACTTACTTACTTACTTACTTACTTACTTACTTACTTACTTACTTACTTACTTACTTACTTACTTACTTACTTACTTACTTACTTACTTACTTACTTACTTACTTACGCCTGTTATCCCTCATCGAGGAGCATAGGCCGCTCACCAGCATTCTCCATCCAACTCTGTCCTGGGCAATTTGATTATATAATTACGAGATAATTAGATTATTATATTACCATATTGTTTGTATTTTTAACTTACAGTAAATGTATTAACTATTTATCTGCAGTTTAACTAATGATGTATCCTTTGGTCTCTTCTCTACTATTTGTAGCATGATTATATGTAATGGATGATTTCATATTTGAGATATTTTGTGATCCGATAATTCATGTGTATAAACTTATGAGTGTTTAGGATAGATTAATTGGGGACCTGAAACGTAACAGTTGAAGATGAATTACTGTATCCTGTGTTCGAATTAATGACTGAGAACAGAAAAAAGTGATACATTCTGAACCAATAAAAATTAGGATCATTCTTGATCTCGATCTCAAGATTAATCTTGATATTCAAAGCATGCAAATGGTTAAATTTTGGGTTGATAGTGATAGCCTGGAAGAGTATACACAGAGATAGAGAAATAAAACCCAAGATTCTTACTGGATATTCTAACAACCAGTATCGATTAACATACGAATCATAATATATTATATACATAGAACGCTCTGAGATAGGAAAAAAGATGAAATTTTTAGACAATGTACTCTGTTAAACTCAGATAGGGCAAATGTTTAAATTCTGAACAGAAGAAATTCCTTAAACGTGCACATAAGAACTTTGTTTAGGATTATGGTGTTGTTTTTGATAATCTGCAATCAATAGGTATGATTTATCAATCCATACGGTAAATCGTTAATCAGTCAATCATTGAGTTTGAAGTCACCTTAAAAAACATCCGATCGGGGATGTAAGAATGCAAAGACAGTAGACTACGGGGAAGATCACTAAAACTGAATGGTTCGTTATATATGAAATGATTGTAATTTTGTGGGGAAAACTCATTTCTACATAAGCTAGGGACTGATGATGTTGTATTGAATGTCATTAGCAGTTCAAAAGTCACACTTTCAATCATAAGACAATGTAAATCATTGAATATTGACTCAGTATTCAGAAGTTTAAGTATGCCAGGTAAAATTGGAAGGTTCTAGGCTTGATCTCAGGTGAAGTTAAAGTTGCTAACTTTCGAAGAATCATACATTAAAGCCAAATGGTAGCTCAGTTTCACATAATTATCAATGGTTGTTTTAGCTAAGTCCGGTCCATGACATCGTTTTTCACAGTTCTTTTATCCTAAATTATAAAAAGGTTCCTATGAATTATCAAATACCATTAACTGAAATAATCACTGAAAACATGAACAAGGTGAGTGTGGAGTAGATAAGTGTTTTATTGTTTTTAAAACCATTAACTATCGGTCCCTACTCATGATAATAACTCCGGTTTATGGCCATTATTTTAAGGTCACATGATAATGAAGGTAAAAATACTGCAATGTTGAACTCTAAGTAAATAGTCCATACTTCTAATTTCAATTTCAGATAGTGTTACAACTATCCTACATAGTGAACACAACCTAAAATAGTCACTTCGCTAGTGATTTCCTTCAAAATGTTTCTGTATTTCTAATCAAAAGTTCTATAGTGAACAAGAAGACAAGTGGGGACAATCGAATGTATTTGAGCACAAAATTACAGATTATCTCACTAAAATCTGACAACCATACAGTAAATAGTTAATTCTCAAACTATCAATTGATTGTCTCAATCTTGACCGTTCCTTCTACAAAAATCAGTTCATCATATCTGATTATTATTGTTCATGAATTTTCATACCGATTGCGTTTCGTTCCTGTTCCTTCCTTATAGATCTTGTGCCGAAATACATTCTCTGCCTGACCATCGTCATATACTACTTATGTAGATATAAGTAACACATACCACAGTTCTAAGCGATAAAGTTCAGACATTACACCAATGAAATCGGATAAGCGTTGCATTATATTACAAATTGAGTGAACTCAGGACCATGCCATTAAATATCTACCTAGTGGGTAAGTGCTCTCTATGAGATCTGAATGTCACGATTTCGACATCGAATATTGATTGAGAACACTATTGTTATGTCCTATAATGAAAATGGAACGTATGTTCATGACCTTATGATTTTCAGTGTTCTCTAAACCTACAAATAATTTAACGTTGAACCATGTCTGACGTGAAGCAATTATCCACTGAAGACAATAGATGATCGCACAACATCGTGGATTGGTTGGAGTCAGACATTAGAATATAATTATTGTTTTATACAACTACTCGATCAGTATTATTTCATTTTTGTCAATTATCAGTAAGGGGTTGTGGATATTGTTGAGTTTAGATTGATATCATGGTTGAAGTTAGACATAAAAACCGTTGGATGCCGAATAAGTGGTTAAGAGGTTAGGCTTTACTTCGAGAAATCAAGAATCTTGGGTTCGAATCCCATGTGCAGAATCGTGGATGCACACTGTTGAGGAGTCCCATACTAGGACAAAAAGGCCGTCCGATGCATGCAGGTTTTCAACGATGATCCAACAGTAATCAATTGATGAGTTCAATAAAAACACAACAACAATCTCCACAATTCTATACTGATAATATCAATATGGTTGAATAACTATCTCCATCCAAATTATAGCTTATCATTAGAACTTTCAATTGTAATTCATCTTATAACATTATAGTTTTCTATGAAAAATTAAAAAAAAGAATTTCTTTTAATGATCAACTCTTGTTACTTCAAAACGTAATAAAATAAAATGAATTACGTTTTTATTTCTTACCCCCCGAACCCTCCCCCCAAAAAAACAATCAAAAATAGAAGTCATAAAAAAATTGTTTACTTTTTAAGAAAACACAAGTTAATTATATGTTTGTTTGTTTGTTTGTTTTAGTTTTTTGGGATAGGAAATTCACTCTAGTTAACTGTTTCTTTATTCACCTTTAATTTTGTTCACTCACTTTCTAGTTGTTACAATTTTCAGCCTTTATTTTCACACTATCGTTTTCTATTATCTTTCTTTCTCCCCCCCCCTACACATACACACACACATTGTTTTTTTCTTTTATATTTTCCTTTATTTCTTCTTATTCACTTTGTGTACATATTTCTTATTCATATTTTTTTATTATGGATACAATAAAAAAAGTAGAGATAAAAACGAAGCTGTAACTGATCGCTTTGGGCATTGAATTGAGTCAGTGAACGTTTCAAAGCATGAGAATGGAGAAGAAAAATACGATGTTATCCATAACGTCCGTAATGTTCTGTAAATATATTGTATCTAGTACGTTTAAACATTCATTCAGGGAATACGTTCAGCCTAACAGAGTATAAATTTAAACAGATTTCAATTCAAGCACAGCCTATTTCGCCATAGGAAAAACGATAGTTCCGGATTGAAATAAAATATTTAACCGATAGACCGCTGAGCAGGCATCCCACGGTGTTTATCCCTAACTCCAACCAATCCATGAAGTTGAACAACCGTTCACCAATTGTCTTCAGTGAGTTGATATCTCACAACAGACGTGGTTTGAACTCCACTGGTCACTGCTTCTCACTAGAACTCCTCGACTTACCTACCATTCGAAGTCAGTCACTAGTGAGCATATGATTATTATTATCAGAAGGGGTTTTTGTGGAGATTTAGTATTTTCATAGTTGAAAACATGAGTCCATTGAAGCTACACCACTAGGGAAAACCTGGAAGCGCTGGATGGCCGTTTCATTCAAACCAGGTATATTGTGAGATAGGAACTCACTGAAGGCAATTGGTGAACGGTTGCTCAACTTCGTGGATTGGTTGGAGTTAAACATAAACACCATCAGATGCCGGCTCAGTGATCTATCGGTTAAGTGTTCTGGAGTGAAACTGGTAGGTCCTGGGTTCGAATCTCCTGTGGCGAAGTCGTGGGTGCGCACTGCTGAGGAGTCCCACAGTAGGATGAAACGGCCGTCCAGTGCTTCCAGGTTTCCGCTGGTGGTCTATCTTCAATTGACCCACGCTTTCAGCTATTAAAATACTAAATCTCCACAAAAACCACTACTGATAAAATTATTTAACAATAATTTCACTTTAATAAGCAAAATTCACTTAATAAATGAATGAGAAAATGGCTGAACTTTCTGTATGCAACATAATTATCAAACATCAGATAAAATTCGATGACGTAACTTGTCAATA